AGTTTCACGATTTGCTTAAAAAAATAATAACAAAACGCGAATATTCTTCAAAAAGTGTTATAAAAAAATACGTTTCTTATTTTTAGAAAATAACGTTCAAAACTTATCAAAATCGAAAAACAACATGGGATCCTTTAAGCAAAAAGCCTCATTTGATCTGTGCTACATCTTTATACTTAACGATATGTACTTATTTCAATGTGAATTTATAATACATATCCATTTGTAAATCGTACTCATTTTTACAAAACTGGATATACATTATAAATTCACACCGTAATATTCTTTAGTGCTATCTAGTTTAGATTGAATAAAGCATTTTCCATAAATTTTTATAGACAATGCACTTTTTTATACAAATTTATATTTTCAGTATTTAAATAAAATGCAATTCAATAATTCATTTCAAAACACATTTCATTTAAAAACATGCTTATGCTTTTAGCATAAAGATAACGACATGTATTATTCAAATGGTCACATTATTTCAATGACTTTACAATTTTAAAGCACGTTTTTGTCTCGATAGAAAATATGTATCTCTATACATATCGAAAAGCATGCCGCCACTTTGTTGAATTGTTATTGATAAAGCAAATATTGATAATGATAACATGAAATTCCAATATCTATCTCGATAATGAGTTAATCGCAAGACTAAATGAAATATCATAGTCGACAGATCGTGGCGTAATCAAATACGAGGCGTACGTGCTGCGCAACGCAAAGTTATATCACACGTCTAAATTAGAGCTAGCAGCGCAATCATTCATGCGTGTCAGTAGTGCCGCGGAACGAAATTCCACCACGTTGCGTCCTGGTCAAGTAATTTAATAATAATTATTCCCTCACAGGAGACGGCCGCAAAACGTGGCCCATTGCCACTGTCGACCGACTCATAAATCACCAGCTAACGCCTAACGCCTAACTTAGTCGCTGATCGTGATTTAATGCCAGTAAAATGCTAACAAGCGTATGAATGAGTCAATAGGAGATATCATTTATGAGGAAGTCTTAAAGTGATGCTGGAGTGACGGCTGAACTTGATCGATGTGGATAGTACAGACTTTTTTTAACTCCAAATTTAAAATGTCGATAATAGTGATATCTTTAATTTATTTCTCACATTATCGTTCTATTATATCTTACTCAAACGCATACATCTGTCCTTATTTAACATATTGCAACGCTATCTCTTGCAAGATCCACCTACTGGTGTTCTTGTAATTGTACTTCTGCAAGAGCACTTACTGCTAGACGCAATTACTGCTTTGTTTACCATTCTGAGTCTTCGCTAAACATACATATACACGTAATTTGCAGATCAATGTAAAGCTTTTTTTAAGCTTTTAATATTCAGTGAATTCAGTATTCAGTGTTCGCTCAGATAATCCAACGGATGATGCAGTGTCATTTTTCCGAGCTATAAAACTTTTGTATTGAGAAACATCTACGTCAGATAATAGTTCTACGAGTTGAAAAATAAATAAGTTTACAACTTTTTTTAGTATAAAATCCACTGCACCACCTCTCAATTTTGCGTCTACTTCAATCCTGTAAAAGGATTTTTTATTCCATTCAGTTAATTATTTGGAGATTTTTATAGGACTGTAATATTTCGATAATTTGGTCGCTCCAGCATCTCCTTGAACGGGCCATTAGTCAACGTTATTCGCAAGATAGCCTCTCTTTCTCTCTTTCGATTGATGCCATTTTAGGTAATATCTAGGAATAAATAAAAGGATACAAAAAAATCTGATAAAAAAAGATACTTTTAACAGAGGTAGCAGAATTTGTGAATCGTGTTCCAACGCAGACAAACCAAACGAAGATGATTAAATTCAGATGACGGTTTGTTGCCGTCGGCTATCACGAAAAAATCAGTGGATATTCATCGTCACGGTTTTTGGCCACGAGTTCACCGCAATGCTCGCAGTATTCCTGGCCATGAGTGACGAGACAAAGAAGAATCTCCAGGGGAAACAGTATAAGTTCCAACTTGTGGTGAACGCGATTATATCGATCGTTATTGTACTTGTATAGGTACAAAGGCTTCAGAGAGTGAGCGGGAGCGTGTGAGTGAATGTGTAATGTGTGCATTATCAAGGTACACCGGATGCGTTGATAAATCCGGTGAAGAAGAACGTAATAGGGAAGCGCGAATATTCTACCGAGGACATGGAGATTTCTCTTAATTGAACTGCACGTAAATAACATAATATCGCGTGAACGAGTGTGCCGCGTTAATTGGATAGGTAAATTTAATGTTTGCAGAGCTTCAATAATCGCTCTCGCGCGTACCGAGCGGACTTTAACTCGGTAAAAAGCGCGCTGTAATTTTACATCAGAGACCATCCTGATTTTCTTGGTTTTGATCGAAGGCGAATATTTACTCCTAGATTATTCATATAGCCCACGCTAATCGCTATTTCATAAATACATCAGGATCCGCATTAGAGCAACCAATTTTGATACGTAATCTCGATAAACGAGCGCGTATTATTAGACACCTGTATGCTCTCTCAGTTGGGGTAATAAGGCGTCACTTGATTTTATCCAGCCTTTCTCCTTTATCGTTCTATCTGGAGCATATTCCGCAGTCTATTTGCGGACGTAATAATCTAACGTGGTCGTCAACCGTGAAGCTCGCTCTCTCGCAAACGTGGAAACGCTCGGCGAGTATTCGTCTCTCTGCGTTATTCATTCGACGCCAGAGCAAAGACTCTCGCTCGACCGCGCCCGTAAATTATTTCCGTCCAAAACGAAGTAGTTGAAATACATACAACTTGCATGAAATCCCATTTTTCCTATCAAATACGAGATTCGCGCGATCCCGCGGACTATAACACAAATAACTGCTTTCCCAAATATCCCTTCGCGATAAGATACGCTGCCGTGCGGCTGATATCATCTCAATTAGCACCCGTCGTGTCAAAAACGTCGGCGAAGCGATCAAACACGCGAATTAAACTCAAGGGGAAACGATCGTTGATGAGATTTACGAAACGATACGCTACACACGTCGAGTATAAGATTGCCCACGTCTATCAGTCTGTAGGGCGTAGCTGACCCCTGTATACATACACTATATACGATGATACAGACGAGATAAAACGTACAAAAGTATACATATGCTAGTATGGCAGAATACGATGACTGCTTGGAGGAAGTACCCAGGGAATCTCTCGGAAACTTTGGAGAAGTCCATGCGGAAGGCGTTGGGTCAACTGCCACGAATGCACTCTGGACTTTTGAGGTCGCCCCGGCGCATTTTCATTCGAGAACTCGAATTCTCAAAGCAGCAGCTACCGTAAGCGCTGTCAAAGTTTCGTGGCAATAAAGAGAACAGGCGATGAAAAGACACGTCACGCGAGAAGGATGGAAAATAGAGCATATATGTGCTCGGAAAAGACGCGCGGAATTGTCCAAAGCTTTTCACCTGTGTGCCGACGACGGATGCAAAGCACGATTGCCAGCACAGAAAGAATTATCGGTGTTATCGACGATCAGAGAAAATCCAGCGTACTCAAATCCAATTTCTTTCTTTTTTTTCTTTTTATTTGCGTCTACTCTGCAGACGCAATAAAAATGCTGGAATAGATTATTAGACAAGATAGAGATTGGTAATTTTCTCATACACGTGTACGGCCCTCGCGTCAAACAAATGACGAAAAGTAACCATACATCAACCATCCAATATTGTAGACAACTCTCGCCTTAAACGGCTGACACATAAATCTTCGCTTATCCTTTCAACCACATGTCAGCGTAAGCGGTGCATTTTTCGCACGCGCATAAACCACTCTCCTCCTCGGTGGAATCGAGTGGCGGCAACAATGAGAGATACCAGGATATCGTACCTCCCTCCTCTCTCTCCGCCGCACGATATAAAAGCAACCCCCGCGCGTCATCGCAGTGGCGATCCAGATCGTTAAAATCTCGTCTTCTCGACGAGACGAATGCGGTTTCGCGGCGCGCCGGCGTCTCCGCGCCCGGGGATTATGGATGCGTTCCACTTCCGATAACGCGCGAAACGTGAAGGCGTTTATGCCTTCGCCCTTACGCCCGACTGCTCCCTTTTCCCGACCGATCCGCCCCCGCGCGCCACGTTTCGCGCCCGTACATCTCGTCGAAGTTGGCAACAGCATCTGGAGCGTTAAGGGTGGATGAGCGATGTGCCGGTGTCTTGCGACGTGATGGATCGTCCAATACCAGCCAATATGCAGTATTGCGCGTGGAGTGGCAAACTGGTATCCATGCATCAAATCGGCGGGCAGAGAGCGGCCGGAAAGAAGGAATGGTCAGGAGGATGAAGAGAGAGGGTGGAAGTTTGGTGTAACGGTTCTTGCCGATCCATCCTTAGTGGTACGACCATAAGGTGCATCTCCGATTGCATGGAATATATCTATGTACAGCTATGTATCTACACATGTACGTGTACTTGAAAGTACATGCATATGTACATACATACATGCACATATATATATATATACACACATATACAATATATATGTACGTATACGCGAGATCCGAAATGTCCCGGTAAGAACGGCTAGGATGGCGGTACTGCGAGCTACGTGGTTGTGCCATGTGTTTGGAACGTCAGGCAACCAGACACGTTTCTCGAGACAATTTCTTGCCGTCTTATTTCATCCGGACGGATACGACCGTGCACCGAATCGTATTCACTTTTCTGTTTAACGGATTGTCCTAAAGGACCAGTTTGATAAACGAGCCGCAAGGAAGAAAGAGAAGATGGATCAAATCAAAATATAACAGTGCGTAAATAGCAGTCTAACTAGATATTGAAAATACACGTTCAAATGACAATTAATAAAAAATTTCGAATAAATTCAACAACAATTCGATTTCTCATTCGTGATACTTTCAGTCATTGACTTGAAGCTTTCTACTTAAAACTAACCAGGTCAAATTCTCTGTTTAATTCTCAGACAAATTTAATAAAGAGGAAGATAAACGTAAGAGAAATATTGACTCACCGAAACGTCAAAGTGGTGAAAGGTCGATAGCTCTTGTGACTATTGATGCTCTCCATCGGCGTACCCCAGAAATCATCGTTGAGGACACTGCTCCACGATGCTTCGCCGATCACGTCCCTATTTCTCACCACCGCCGGTATATCATCGTGCACGAAGTCGCAGTCGAGAGCATTGAGATAACAGCCAACCGCGACAAGCGCAACCGCCGCATAGATGCACCATCCCGGTGGCTCGTTCGCTTCAGTCTCGTTGCATCCGCTACGGCCACCTTTCTTGACCGACGATGTCTGGCAGAAGCAAGTGGAACCGTTGTTCCGTCGTCTCATGTCGCTTGGCGTTGTTCGGTACCACGCACGAGATAAGTTCTCACGTTCGTTCGTACGTCCGCGAGCCCGAAGCGCGAACACTATCATGAAGTCGCGAGCCGTTTTTTCGGACACCGTTATCTCCTGCGCGATTGACCGCACTGCCCAGTATAACTGCACTGATCGCGATCGGAATCAGCTGACTCTCGCATTTCTAAAGCGAACGCTCAGGTGAGAGTTCACGTTCGGAAAGCGTACTTGCTTCCTTTCAGCGTTTAAGGATCGCTACTAAGCATCGTTTCAATTGCAAACCTCGACATTTCACCCTTGGTGCTTGTTTCATCAATAGCTTTACAAGCGGAGAAATCATAAAGGCCGATTGCTTGTATATACCGTTTGGCTTTTCGGTTCCCGGTCGAGTCAAAGGGACATGATTCTTGCGTAACGTTGGTGGCAAAGCGACGCGAAATGTCGCGGTGCTAGCCGGTACCTCGCGTTGATCTCTCCCATTTAGGCCGATGACGTTACCTCTACGAGCATTCGTTTGTCCCACGGTGAGCTTGACAAATGACTGCAGGAGTTCATTATTTATCGGCTCGACTCGAGCGTGACTCTAGATGAAGGGTGGTAGCAGGTTCCGCGCGTAAACCGCTCACGACTCGGATAATAGCCCTCGCGTGGACTTTCCTCGGGAATTGCCCCCGTGGGGGATCCAAGTAGATCCTTTTTACGTAACCGCGTAACAACGTAACAGCTCGTTACCGCGCCAGCGGCGGGTATTGGATCGATCCGCTTTCCAGCCGCAAATCACTGATCATTACGGATTCTCCCGGCAGAGTAAAACGATATGTCTATAGCACACTTACCGCTCTCGGACGTAAGTGACAAGTTAACACTACGGTTATATAAATTGCGACTTCGTTTCGGAGCAGGTCACGCATTTGTTGTTCATTATCTACCTACTCTATAAACGGATTTTCAATTACGTTGACACGGAACATAGCGTTGGCCATTTCTTCCGGCGCTCGATATTTCGTGAGCCTTAACAGTTGGCATAAATGTTTGCGTAACGTCACGGCAAACACAATTAATATAATTGCTTTGATGAAAGATAATAATTTATTTTGATTGTCCCACGTCAATATGGTTCTCATGCGTTTCAAGAGCGAGAACTCGTACGGTCAGTGATAAGTCTCCATTTTTTTTTTGCTGCATCCGGAAAATTTTGTAGAATTATGGAGAACAGGGTGCAACGAGAAGACGGCTGTGTGACCCAGATACTCGTAGCCAGAGCTCCTCCGTCGCCACAATTTTACTGTGCATATAGATCTATACAAACGGCTCGTATCTCGCCGAGGGCACGGCTTGAAATTCTCCGCGACAGCACCTTCACCTCCCGTCGACCTCCTGCTTTCCTCGCTACCACTCTCTTATCTCCTTCCCTTGGCGCCACTGCCACTTGGTCGCTTCTTCTTGTTCCCTGTCCTCCTTCGGCTTCACTTCCTGCGTCGTCGAATTCAATCGTTGAACAAGTGTCACGACGATTTTTTTCTCCGATTCCATCGGGCATGCGAGAACTAGGGACGAACTTCTGACGCCTCGACGATCTCACTAGAACGGTTCCCACTGCTTGCCTTCACTCGAGACAAAAGTCGGGCATACTCGACGTTTGAGCAGTAGCTAGTAAATGTTCTTCAATGTTCGCCTTGTCCGTTCACGTCTAATCGATCGAGTGACTTCGGACAAAGAAACGAAAAATTTCGCAAGGTAAAAAATTATGGACGATTTTTAATTACGGGTATTTTTAACAGCTCCGATCCTTCATTTGAATCTACCGAAATATTGTACTTGAAAAATTCAATACTTCATTCAGTACCGGTTATTTTTTTTTTCGATTGCTTTTTTCAATACTTTGCTGACTTTTAAAAACGCGCGGTAGCATACAATTCGCATTAAAGATGCTCGAACGCGATGGCAAGGGTAAAAATATAATTTCCTCCACTGATCGGTGATATCATAGGAGGTGGTAGCTACCGCGTTTCTTTGCTTATTCGGGCAAGATAAACGTACATACTTCTCGAAAGCCTATAATCTGATATCGGACACCTTGCCAATTGGCACGAGGTGTAAATCGGTATGCACCGCACATCGGAATGGTCACAGATCACGGTAACGACATCGGCGTCGACGTCGGCGTCGGCGTCGAACGAGTTGCCGCGACGACGAAAAGCGCGAGACTAAGGGATGACGGCATCCGCCCGGTTATATACCCGACGCACTCTGACCCGCAAACCGCGCCCGCGCACGAGCCACCCCCGGGGGTTTCCCTCCTGCCTGCAACCTCGCGCGCCTTTCCTTTCTTCTTCTTTCCCATTTGCCAGCACCTGCTCAACCTTGGATTCCACTGACGTCATGTTGTTTACCCATAGTTTACCTGCCAAAACAGGTAAGCGCCCTGAAAGACATATGTTAAACTCAAATAAGTTTCAATTATTAAAGTTGGGCACAAGCGTGACAATGTAATGATATTTTAACGCTAGATAACTCTTATAAACGGCATTAAAATATATGAATATTTTACTTAATAATTATCATTTATATATAATAAAATGTAACAATAATTGCTAATTTTATTAGAGAAATATCATATTATTCGACGATTCTAATTGTTCCATTTTACATTTGTACTTCTAGTACTTATAGCTCATTTTAATTAAATTGAAATCGTTAACGAGATTTCTACGTTACTCGTAATGCAGTTAAGAGCGTTTGTATCGAATCTTACGAACCGGATAACAAAGACAGGACTGAGCAATTATTTATTGCCTGTATTTCCCTCTCAGGGATATCTCGCATCTAACAATACAACGGATCACGGCTCGCGAATCAGTGAACGTAATGACGATATGAGCTCGTTACTGACGATGATGATACGGTAACGAGCTCGGAGAAGTGATGCTGTATTGTATGATTGAATTTGGCTATTGCCATCACAACTACGAATATGTATCAAATTGAAATTAAATCGTATCAAGACATTATCATGTAATTTTAATTATTGTTTGAAATCATTATCACAAGTAAAACAAAATGTAAACACAAATTATTAAACATTTTGTATATAATAATTTATGCATACGCTTAAAAATTATCATTACTGTTATTATTATTGTTGTGTTGTTATTGTTGTTGTTGTTGTTGTTATTGTTATTATTATTATTATTATTATTATTATCATCATTATTATTATTATTATTATTATTATTATTAGCGTACAGCGAGAATACTTACATATAAACTTGTAAGTGAATAAGTATAGTTTTCATTTATAGAGAAGTTTATATTAAAAAAGTATGAAATTAGTTTTCATATTTTTGAAATGATAACAATACGCGCAGGAAAAGATAAAAATTTTATAAGATTAATACGGAGACACATTAAACCTTACTTTATTAGTTTCCATTTCTATTTTGTCCATTTCTATTTTGTCTTAGTAAGATTCTGACGGAGTTAAATTATCTTGAGACTATCAACTATAATAGGTATATCAACATAAAATGGCAAAGATAGATCTGAATTTTTCATGTCACTAATAAGCAAGTTTCACAGAAAGTTATAATTGAGCGAGATACCGGCATTCTTCTACCAAGGAACTTAATATTAGCGACATAGCTGTCGCTCAAGTAATTCGCATAATGTACCCGGGATTCGCAATTAATGATCATTTAGTTCGATGGCGCCGAGTAGCCGTCAGTGCCACGATTCGCAGGCGAGCGCGGAACTTTGGCCCGCCAGCGCGTTAAACTTCCGTATGAATCTACTTTCAAACTACACAAGAATTTTTAATTACGGCCCTATAGAACGAAAAATGCCACTTACGTGTCACGTTAATAGTTCTTCGCATTCGAAGCGTTGGAGGAATGTGGAGGACCAGTCCCATGCGACTTTTAACGAATTTTTATTGCCGCAAAAGAGGACAATGACGATTCACGATAATTACTTTATTCGCACTTACAATCTTTATTCTCCTCGGCTTCGAATGTTTGTGATAATCTTGTTCCCCACAAATGCTACACTGTTAATTTGAGTTATTTTTCATCATTTTTAAAGGTCACCACTATTCAATATGTTTCCTATTCAATATGTCGTCAATTTAATTAAAATAATGGAGTTAACAATTAGAAAATATAACTTTATCTCAAATTTAGTGTCACATTTACTATAAATACAAACATTAATATGAATATTGTTTACTTTGAAATTAATCACAGAAATAAATGGATTTATATTTTGATATGTATGGAAGTTAAAAATAACAAAATATTACTTTTAATTCAACAGATTGAATTACTATTATTTAACTCAAAAAACTGGGTTGCCACTAGGGATGCGCAACTTCCAGATTGATTCGCTAAAAATCGATTTTTACAAAAAGACCGTTTCAAAATAGTCCTCTTTGTAAAAAAAAAATGAAGCAATTCTTGTACAAAGAGATCGATTTAAATACTTTTTTTTTTTTAGTTAAAAAGATCACAAAATAAATCAATTTAAAATCGTTATTGTCGTTTGAGAAAATCGATCTTTTTATCGAGACACACTTATTTACCACTGTTCTCTTGATATCTAACAACGTATATTCGCTACTCATTTACAGTTACAGTTTTAAGCTACTCATTTCTCCCTAGAATATAACATTCTCATTAGTTGATCTTTACAGATTACTTAATACTTATCATGCAAGCTCGAAGGATGTGTAAAGAATCGATCTGACAGCTCCAGCAGCGGCGTGATTTCGCTGCAGCGAGCCTAAGCTATTTCTTTGTGGACTTCCCGTTGAAGTATAAATTGGTTTTATGCTCTGTCAAGGAAGTTTATAACTGGAAACTTATAGTCGCGGAACAAACGTCTGTAGACGGCACTGAAATATAGTGTTCGTAGACGCTCGTTGCGCCTGAATATTCAGCGACTTCGCCCTCGCTCGCTGTCTATGTCTCACACGCGCTGCCTACTTCGTTACACCCGGTTAACGCTTGCCATCGTCTGACCGTATTTAATAATGCACCTAACCGACGACGTCGCGACGCCACCGACGCCCCAGGAGAGCAAGGTCTGCCAACGACCCTGAAAAGGTGTCGGTGTCCTGTAAGTAAGGCAGCCGCAATACGTGCGCGATTCTCTCTTCGTGGACTAACTTGCCGAGGGCAAGGAGGGAAAAAGCACACGAACCGACTTCACCTGAAATAAAGATAAAGACGGTTCCTCTCGGTCCGCATTCGCTTTGCTCTCCTATCTCGTGCGTTTTCATTTATTAAAACGCAATGGCGTATCGAGCAATTGTCTGCCTTCCCTCTTTTTCTTTCCGCCGCGCCGGTGATATAAAAATCAACCAATAGCGAGCGACGATCGAACGCTTCGTATTCTCGCACGTGCAATATAGTCTCAACGAAAATAGTTGATACACAATCTGATTGTTTCTGCCGGTTTCTTATTTACAATTTTGCTTCTAGAGTCTTGTTAATTCATTATAGACGTGTATATACGTCTCGCTATTTGCCTATTTTATTGTCGAATCGTGAAATCGCTTTAGTTATCTTCATCTTGTGAAATATTTCGAGTCTGCTGGCGCGAGATAACATCTTGAGCTCGAAAGCGCAATGTTGTTGCGAGAAATCACATGTTGGTCGCGCGGATACCTCGCGCTATACATTCGCCGTATCGATCGGCGGGAAATCTTAAACGTGGACCGACGCGAGAAATAATGCCTATAATTCATACGTAAATGCGAGACACGCGAACACGAGACACGAAGGAGCGTGCGAATGGTAATTCGCGTTGAACTCGCATACGGGCGATTCCATTGCGATTGCAAATAGTGTCGTCCGCAACCGCGGCGTTGATACATTAACGAAAATTGACGGCTGGTCACTTGCAACAGAAGCAACGTCCCAACAGGATCGCGGGAGGTACGAAACCTGTTAACGCCGCTAATGAACTCGGACGGCGCAGCTTCATCAAAACAATTCTCGCCACGCGGACGGACACCCACGAGATTTCGCGCGACAGAGAGACAGAGAGACAGTTTCGGCCACCACAATAGGAACTCCGCGGACAATCAAAGGTGGTGGACATTCGGTCGGTCGGTCGGTCGGTCGGTCGGTCGGTCGGTCGGGTCGGAGGATGGCGTGCACGAAACGCCGCCGGGGAGGAATGTATTTAATTAATGCACTCGAGCAACGGTTAGTAGAATACACGGAGAACCATACAGAGAACTGTGTATCTCGAGAGTAGGGTGCAGTAGTATCGTGCAAGCTTAGGTGCGAGCACGTGCGCATATATGCGACAAACTGTCAAATTCGCCACAAAACTCGACGTGTTTCGTATATCGGTGACCGGTGTTCGGTCGCTATTCCGTGAGGAAGAGCCGCATTTACAATTTCTGGTTCGAACAATTCGCGTTCCCAGAACGTATTGACGAGAATTCTTGGCGAAACGAGCGGTCGAAATCCGAATGAATTTTACCCATGCCCGCATGCCTCGGGAAAACACATCTCTTTACGGTCTCTCGCGCTCTTTCTCTTCCTCGTCTTTACATAGGCGGAACCGCGAGCTTACGAGAGAAGGGCGTAGACGTTCCCGAGGCTACAAATGTCGGAGGAATCTCGTCGACCGAGCAAGGTAGAACGTAATCGGGATCTTGCCTCGCCACCCGACACCCTTCATGCTACACGGGAAACTTGGAATGATTTCGAGCGTAGAGTTTCGGGCTTTGCCTTACCCCTCGAGTCTTGCCCCTTGGATGCTGCCCGAGTGACAAGAGAGAGAGAGAGAGAGGGAGAAAGCTCTTACACAATACATGGAAATATTACCTAACATTTCAAGTTATCGCGCTACGAGCTTACTAATTGCATGCTTTCGCAGAATACCGCGGAAACTTCTGGCTCTATCACGTATTTTGGCTCGTAATGAAAATTTTTCTCCAAATTGCTTCATTCGCAATAAAAATAGATACAATATGTGTGCAAAAATCGTAAATTAGCATATTCATTTTTTCTAATGAATTTAATAATATACCCTAGATTTGTTTAATTTTTTTCTAGTATACATGTGCGAAATGAGAGTATTATAGATTTAATAATCAAAATGTTGTTCGTAGCCTCAAATCGGTAATTCACTAAGGAACAATCTGCGCTGCGACGCGACTTACAGACGAAAGGCGGATAAGAGGATTTGGGAAGATGGCCAAGGAAGATGTAACGAGAAGAGATATCTCCGCATCAGCTGAAATTCTTGCAGAACGTGTTCGTGTCCGACTCGGTGAAGAAACACACGCGAACGACCGAGTACGATTTTAATTACGAGCTTATTTCGCGCACGCGCGCGTGCAAGGCTTGATTCCGAGGGGAGTCACACTGAAAAGGAGTTACGCAGGATTAGCTCCGAATTCGAAAAAGCGCG